GATCAATACAAGAAAACCAATATGCTATGGTATATTTTAAAATAATTTATATAGTGTAATTATTCTTAACAAGGTAGTGGCCTCGGGGAGTCCATTAAAACGACAATCTTAACGACTCAAGATTTCTCAAAGGCTATTACACTACTCTACCCTCCACAGTCCACAGACAAAACCAGACAAAATACCTTTCTCTTTCTTGATATTTTACTTTCTGTATTCACTTTCTATCTCATCAAGCCCACCCCAAGTAAATGACATGTGTAAGTACTACAGAAGACCTATAACAGCTTGCAAATCAGGTATAATATAACCGAGGCGTATCCACCTCCACCCCCTGTTTTTGATCTGTTTTCCACCCTATGTGAGTAGCGTTATACATGAATGAATGAGTTATGCAACATATTTGCCACTTCGTTTACAAAATTTATCGGGACAAAATTTCACGCAACTTTCACAATAAATACATTTAATCCAACAGCTGCAATTCTGCCACAACAAATTTTCCCCAAATGAATTAAGTTACTTGTACAATCAAGTTGAATGGATGGATAAGATGTGTGCCGACTCATGAATTGTAAAATAAATTGTCAATCAAGTTGTACAAATAACAGGATTGATAAATTTATCTTTCTTTGAATGGCATAGGCATTTTCACAAGTGACTGTCAAGATTTTAATACAATTTGTGGTACTTAATAGTTTTTCCTTTACAAAGACAAAACATTTTGCATCATGAAATTTTATATGATGTCTGTTTGATTGGATAATTGTGGATCTAGGCTGGCACTCATCTTGTGGAGTTGTGGTCCCTATGCATGGCAAACCATACTAGTTGCTAGATATGTTAGACAATTTTTGCTCCTTCTGCGTTACTCGAGATGTTTCTAGACTCAAGTTTAAACACTTTTTTCTTAATTTTCCTTTTTCATTTAAGATCGTTTTCGAAGAAACTCAAGTTTAATGAGAAGTTTTATACATGAATACCCAAACCATGTGGTGGAGCAGCTTAGTGATGTAAATCCGGCGCAGGATGGCTCCCTTGGGGCCAGGAGTATAAGGCTTGCATGAACACTTGCTTGATCGGACATAACCCGCGATTTACCTCCACCCAGAGTTGAGGCACCGGTTCGGATGGTTCAGGATATAGTCTGGTG